GGTTTGCAGTGGAGCATATTTTTAGTTTTTTTTTAACAGTTATGAACCGAGATGCCTAATGGGTTCCGTGGATAACCCAGTTTATTCTCTGTTGTGAAATCCTGCTATTTACTTTCCCATTGTATAGTAATTTAATGAAAATATCTTTCTTATGGATACAGTTTAAAAATTGACTGACCTCTATACCAGTTATGGAATCTTTCAAGGATAATAGCACTATCTAAATCTAAAGAAGGGACTAATAGTTTTAAACACTAGGCAACTTATAATCAATGAAAACAATATGGTACCTCCTTATCGACTCTATTTATTCATACTAGGCAGCGAATCACATGAAATTGATCACATTTCTGACTGTCGCGTCAACTCGTTTTTCAATTACTCGATTTCTAACCTTTTTAACGATGGAAACACTTCGATGTCGATTCATATCCTTTACTACAGTTTGAAAACGAATGAATACAAATAGCAGTTACAAGTGATTTAAAGTTGAACAGTGTGGTCTTTATGAAATATGATGCATATGAGCATAAGTCAAATATAAAACTTTACGAGTGTTCTTGAAAACTGATCGATTACACTACCTGTAAGTGGTTATAATAGTATAAGTCTCAAGTCCTCTAATAACAGTAAGATTATTAGTTTTCAACTGAAATTGAATCGTACTTTTTAACTAACTAAGTAACTAATGAGAAAGGGATGAGCTTTGATTTTTGTTCATTCGAACAATACTACTCTGAATAAACTACACTCAAACATTCGTACTCAATGTAAACTTTATCTCTAGTACTCGTGGAGCAGTTTCGAAATTATGATGACTATTTTTATGCACTTCTATTGAATAATATTTTTCATCTTGTGAATTAATATCGCCCGAAGAAATTATTGTCATTACTGAAATGCATTTCTGGTCTTTCTGGAGGCTAGGATGACTGTATCTGGTTCTCCTGAGAACCAGTAAATGTGTGAATAATCATGGAAATCTACTAGAGTGTACTGTTTTAGTACAGTGAGATGTGATTTATAAATGACAGAGTGTGATACCGTTAGCTTCTGCCCTAAATTATTCTCCATATTGTTGCTTCACCACCGAGGTCCTCGTTGTGCATTGGTTGCTTCAGTAATGCCTAATTATGACTATAAGAATACACAGACATGTGGTAAACATTCCTACAAATGGGGTAAAATATTCCTCACTTGCATTTTTCCCAGTTTGAAAGTTATCCTAATGAGACTGATTGTTTGTTAGTCCACATAATACTTTTCCACAGAATTCGCTATATAAAAGACAGTTGTGAATCCTAACGCCACACTATCAAACTCACGTTATTCAAAACACAAAGCCCACCGAATTCCAAGATCTAATTGGGAATGTGATGATCAACCCGCTGGACCCAAGCAGTGAAAAGAATAGGATAAATTCGATCAGAAAACACACACAGACTTCAATTTCGTTGATCGTTTCTGTCTCATAATACAGATGCTCGCAGATGTCTTCTACAGATGGAAACTGACAACATGGCATAAGAGATAGCTCAGACAGCACATCAGGCAAACAGACTGATGACAGAGCTGATGAAGATGTCTAACTAATAACAGATGCTACTGACTAGTAGGAGAAATCTAAAGGAAGTCGTCCCTTTCGATTACCTTCGAAGGATGGCTTCAACTATAGGTGACACACATTCGGACGTCAAAGCCAGGAAGGCAGCGTCATAGACAAACAGGGAATCGTTATCCTGAAATCAGTGGGAACACCTACAGTACGAAGAGCGAGATCCAGATTGCTGATGTTATGTCAGGGTCTTCATATGGCCCAGAGACTCACACATCACAAAGAGAATTTTCAAGTATTTGTTTTGTAGGTATTTTTGTTTGATTCCATGGCGGATTTCATCATGAGCTGACATCAGTTACAGAACCCCTGAAAAGCCTGGAATTACTGGACAGCTGTTTCGTCCTAGTTTGGGACCCTTCAGCAGTACGCACCCACCGGCTGAATCATTTCATCAAAAACTGCCTTTACCCTTTCCTGAGGTCCAGATTGTCAGAAGGAATAAGGAACTCCGATGAGGAACCAAACAAGAAACTACTGGCCAACGACCATTCAGGAAGAAATGAAGATGGGCTGAACACACATGACAGAAATTCAAATTTACATTCCAGACCATCGAGTGGAACATCGAATGACATTTGACAAGTTGGGTATGTGAGGGTATCAGGGAGATCACGTGGTAAGAAGCTTGGACCATTTCGACTTTTCCGAATGTAGTTGAAATATTAGCAGAGAACCAAGTGCAACCGAAATATGCTGCTGTATTCCACTCGGGAAGCCAGAAACATGATATAATTGTTGTATGATTATTGCAGATTATCACTGCCTTATTTTATTCGTTGTTACAATAATACTTATTATTACTGGCGTATCACTACTCAATTACAGTCACTTGCTAGCTACTTTTGCACTTCTCATGCAGTTTTCTTCTGTCTTCTTCTCTCTCCATGGGTACTTCGCTGGATCACTCCACTGAGACAGTTTCGTCATCCTTTAGATTATTGATTTTCGAATGCAGGACTGAAACCAGTCAAATTACACTTCGAAAATATTTAAAACATGGTTGGTATATCTGAATGGAATAGGAATGGGAACGACCGTCATCAAGACATCGGTTATTCAGTTCAAATCTGTGGCCGTGTAACTGCCAACATCACAGTGACTGTGAAATAATCAGGATTTTCAAAAGTCAGATCTAAGAATACAGTCTATGACGTGCACTCAACACCACGAGAACCAATAATGCCTGTTAACTTTAAAGCCTTTGTATTTTATTTTAGCACTAATCATCTCAGACCACCACTTATGTTCTAAAAACTCAAACAGTTGAAACTAGCAAGTGAAATGTACAAGCTTTAGGCGAAATACCGATTCAGTATGTGATGTAGCCCATTCTGTCGGACCCTATTTGACTGAAGGTCAGTTTCACCAAAACGTCTATCATGTTATTCATATTCGTTTCGACATCTTTGTTATTTCAAACAATACTGATCCCAATTTCTCAGTGAGTATACGTATCACGATAGCTCCACACGTTGACGCTCGCAGAAATGACTTGATTCAAGCCAACAGGAGTCACTCATTTCTTAGATTTGAAGAACCTGTTGTCTCCACATGGGAAAGAGCGTATGACTTTCGGGAGTTGTAAGGATGAGTCACTAATAATTCGTTTGTGAAAGCCTAACTTTGGCTGAAACAAAATGGGCTGTGTCAGTGTATTGTTCGATTGGATGAGCGCACGTTTTGCAGTCTGGTTACGAAGTGATAATTACAAAATTTACCATTACAGAAGACACTAATAGAGTGAGTGCTCGTGTCCAAGGTCGAGTGCTAATATAGCTGGTATCTAGGTTTTTAGAATTATCAACCGTCTAGTGACGTGATTGTGCCATTTACAAATAACTTTCCTATCCGTGTTGTCAGTAACAGTTCCGCCTTGTCCTTTTATTCAATCATACGTGTGTGTCTAATTTTTATCAATCGTTTAGCTTCTACATATTTGTCTCTGTTTTTATCCTTTTTATCAAAATTCAGTATCGATTGGGTCACTTGTTCCAATCTTCGTTTTTACCTCTTGCTGCTGCTCATCTTATACCCTTCTCCTCTTCATCAAACAAATGGAAAGACTATCAAGTGGACGAAGGCTGTCTGATTAAAGTATCCTCAAGGTCCATCATCCGCTCACTTAAGGTGCTTCACACCCAACAAAGCATTTTTTGATTGACGATAGAAGGCTTTTCAAATAGATACCTTTACTTGCCTAATTTCATCTTGAACGCGTCAACTGAAGACTTGATGGAAGAAATGGTACTCACAACAATGTAGTTCCTTCTCGTTTTCTGAACGGTCCTCCTATTTCTCTTGAAATGCACATGTTGCGTGAAGAGGAAAAGAAAAGATAGGTCAAGTTCATGGTCATGTTTTCAGATATTATAACACTGTGATGAGATATTCTGTCTGCCAATAGTATGATAAGAGGAAGCGATTTAAACTGTTGTGCTTTTCTACTGTGATAAAATGGTCAAACCAAAATTTGTACGCCTGGAATTCTTTTGGTGTTCTTTTATTATCTGTGAGACTATCTTGAGACAAGCACTGGCTACCTGGACGCAGTTTTCTGGTTTCGATTTACCAGAAATGCATATGAATTATTGAATACTTGGCAGGTGACTCTAGTTGAAGTGCTGCGTATTCCCCATAAGGATCTAAAACTTCTAACTACCACTGCACAACAATCAGCCGATGTTTTATAGCCATGGCTTGACAGAAAACACGTTAAACCATGTGTGTGTCAACTGTTAGGAGTTGTATTCATTCCATACAAAACCTATATAATACTGATTGGTTGATATAAGTAGTTGTACACCTCTCACATCAACCAGTTCAGTTTGTTAGACCATGGTTACCATATTCAATCGAAATAAAACAAGTACTTAGATGAAATACTCATGTGATTGTGTGGTGATTCTAGCATTAAATATCAGATGAGATCAAAGTCCATTTCAATGTTAACATAAAATCTACTGAGATTGAAGTAACAAAGATATTGACAAGAACAGAGAAATCATGATTTTTAATTCTGTGTTATTCTTGATTGCACTCCTGCTCAATAACTCACTTTATACATTAGCAATAGTCCCAAAGCCGTCAAGTTACGAAAAATCTTCGACACTTTGCCATTTAACACGTTCACTTGACATTCAGCATAACTATTACTCATGCGATGTGTTATTAGAAGCTGTGAGGAGATTTGAAAAGCGTCTGGAATCAAAACATCCGCCAATTTCCGAGGAAGTTGAAGTCCCATGCAATATAAACACTCTGAATATCAAAATCACATATGGATGTGACGAAAGCGATGATCCGCTATGGCCATCATTAACTGCATCAACTGATGAATCATGTGAGTTGTGCCATAACGACTAATTCAATCGCCATTTTGCAGATAATGTGAGGATAGAGGATTCTCAAATTAACATACTCTCCGTTGAGGTTTGGGGTGCTTTACACGCCCTTGAGACCATACTTCAATTGGTGTACCAGGATAAAGATGGAGCGGTGAGTTTCGTTTTTACCTTTGACTTGATTTCATTAATTCATTTCATCATACAGAATGTTATATTTCAAGGATCTTTGATGGACGAACCAGAATTCGTACACCGTGGAATGCTGGTAGATACTGCGAGACACTTCTTGCCATTTGATATCCTGAAGAACCTGATAGTAAGAAGTGCAATAGTCAGTATGATTCTTTCTCTTACCAGGATAGCATGGCCATGGTCAAGATGAATGTGTTTCATTGGCATATTACGGATGATCAATCATTTCCCTTTGTCTCGACTACTTGTCCGGAACTGTCACAGCAGGTGAGTGAGGTGAAAATCAGGTTATTTATTGATCAAAATGTTTGTTTAAACTAAAACAGGGTGCATATCATTCTCCGAGGTGCACATATACTGAAGAAGATGTGAAAAAACTGTTGGACTACGCCCGTCAACGTGGAATTCGTGTCATTCCAGAGTTTGATACTCCAGGTAGGTAATTTTAAATATATATTTAATATGATCTAATTGTCCATCATCTGAGTTCAAATGAAATAATGCCATGCAAAGGTTTGAATCAGTATGAACATGCTCTTAGAATGATGATGAAAGTAGACTGTCTATCAACCAATTCAAGATAGTCATCATAAATATAGTGCAATTTATGCATGATTTTGTGTTTGATTGTGTGTTGAAGCAAGGAGATGATGAGCGGCGTTTACCTTTGCTGAGTTACCTATCAGGTTTGATTTTGCTGAAAGTTATAAACCCAAGGTGGTTGTGAAAAAATTCACAGTTTGTGATTCTGTTCAGTCGCCAACTACTATCTAGACAATATGCGGAATTATCCGACCAGTGAACTACGTGAATATCATTGGTCCAATGTTCGCATTCAACGTCTTGTAGTTGATCCTTGAATGGACCAACGTAGTTAGTGCGAAATACATGTGTTATACGAGTTGAACAGTGTATAATTTCAGACAGCAGGATACGAATCAATCTCAGATGGTGACTGCATTAATCACCGTATTTTGTATCTCAGCGACATTATTTGTTGAAATATTGTAAAGCTGATTTCCATTGAGTGTCACAATCATCTTTTGTAGCGCATACATTGTCATGGGGGAAAGGATATCCAGACGTACTCACAAAATGTTACGACGGCGCTCAACCAAATGGAACGTTGGGTCCATTGAATCCATCCAATTCATCGTTGTATAATTTTTTGGAGAAATTATATAAAGAAATCGTCGGAAGATTTCATGACAATTACATTCATCTTGGCGGCAATGAGGTTGACTATGAGTGCTGGTGAGTTCTGTTGATTTTACATAAGAGTAAATATAAAATCAATATTACGGCATTGCCATATTTTCATTTCAAACTGAAGGCATACTTTTATCTGTCTCAGATTAACAGGCGCTGAACTAGTCTCATTTAAACAATTTTCTCATCGATTCATTTACATTTCAATAATTATTCCTTGGGAGCAACAGGAAGAACAACTCTCGATTTAAGCACTAGGAAGTGACATGGATGGTATTTTCAATAAGACTTCACCGCATTTAAGTTGCCAGTTTGTGGATTGACTAGTAATATGAAAACAAACACCACTTAAAGTGGTGTCGTGACGTCATTTTGAAGTTTGTGCTGAAGATGCCAAATGAATTGCATCAAAAAAACAATCTCTGATCAAGTTGTATTTTAACAATTAATTCATGTAGATTAACGGGAGACTTCAAATTACTGCTCCTTATTTGTAGGCAGTTTAAATTGAATCATCGACAAGAACATGGAACAAATTTATTTATTGTCTTTGTGTTCATTTTAGGCGGTCGAATCCACAAATAAATAGATTCATGGAAGAAATGAAATTCGGCGAGGATTATTACCAATTACATAAATATCACTTTGTGAAACTTATTGAGATTGTTAAGGACATGACGACAGACCCTGCATTACCGATCACTCCAATTGTGTACCAGGAGAGTTATGCTGAAGAATGCGAAGTAAGTTTTGGAAAATATGCTTGTAATTAGATCACTACACTCGATATTCAGTGATAATTATCTGTATCCCACTGACACAACATTATCAGTCCTTTTTAATTGACGATAAGGAGTAATGTTGTGATTCAGTCATATATTTTGAAGAATAGTTCAAAGACAGATTATTGCAAGCATTTATTTTCAAGTTATTTTAGTTCACGTCTAAAACGTTTGTTCCATGTTGGCTGATTCGGTGTCTAGAGACAAATAATAATCCCTCTACCTCATCGCCATCAGGGAAACAGATCTCGGTCGCCAAATGCTGAGTTAGGGTGTTACTTGCTGTGTGGTGATAGGAGAATATTTTCTCTTATTACTTGTCCAGTGGAGTCTGTCATTCTGAGTGTGGCTAAGCTCTCTCACACTCTCACAACCCAGTCGACCTAAATACAACAGAATAATCCCTGTGCTTGATCGTGAATTCATCTGCTTGTATTCGATCAATGAAGTTATTTCATGTGATTACTCAATTTGGACAGGACACAGGAGTTCACTTCATAAATAGAAATTTGTATTCTGTGTACCTTTGTGCTGAGTGTCTGTTGACATATGGGATCCCAGAATAGACACCCTGCGTTGTCTCATTGTTCCCAGTTCCAGTGGTAAATCTGTCGTTCAGTAGAGTGATCATACAACTAGTTGATGAGTCTTGAACAGAAAGAAACTTGTATCTATATTTTCACTGTTAACAGACATGAACAGAATCAAATCAACATTTATTTAGTTCAATTTAAGTTCGCTGATCATCTTGAAAATTTACTTGATGAATAAAGAACAGAGGTGATTTAGTTTTATTCTTCGGTTGAATAAATCTAACGTGTTGCATATTTTATCCATGTCAAATGACTGACAAACCTCTGAAAAGAAGTATCAGAAAATTTGAGATCTCAGGTTGAATAACTTTATAAAGTCAACCTGTAAACGAAATGCTTCATCCATTCGAGAATGCGCCATCCCGAATTTCCAGAATAACAATCAACCGATAATTCCTTCAAAATTAATCTTAATAGTTATATCAGTTTGATGTTCATACCACTAACTTTACAAATGTTTCATTCGGTTTAACAGATTGACCATAGAACAATCATTCATGTCTGGAAAACTGTAGATTGGCAAAAATACGTCTACAATGCCACTCGAGATGGATATAATGTTATAGTTTCTGGTACATGGAATCTCAATGACATACAAAATGATCTTGATTGGATGAGATATTATGAACAGAATATCAGAGATTTCGGGGGTGAGTTAATTCTCGCGTAGTCTGAAACAGATACTGTTTTGAACTGAATTTATGTGTTGACGACATTTACCTGTGTGTGTTGCAAGTTTCGCTTCGCCTGTGTTATGCAACAGTTCTGAAATGAACACGGATTCACAATGATTGCAGCGAGTGCGATGCTTTTTTTTGCGTCACAAGTGTGAGTCGTTTGACTTTGTACGGTATGTTGGCATATTAACAGCAAAATGTATATATACATATATAATAGAAGACAATGGGACATTAACATTGAACTCAGGAGTCAGTCATTAAGGAATTGTGTATTAATCGGGATTTGTAGATCTAGTTGAGGATTTTGTTTTCTTTGTTCTTTTCATTTTCTGAGATGAATGGTTTCACTGCGAATCCATAAATACTGAACAAGGGCATCTCCCAAAGCAAACATTCACTGAAGAATCTTGACTTAATGAAGTAGATTTGAGTCTCGACATCGGATTGGTTGTAACGATAAACACTAATGTCTTTTTCAGTCACTAAACATCTACATTCGGCAAAACACACGTGACAATGTTGTGCATGGAAAAGAAAATTTTGTAAATTTTACAGTGTTGCGTCATTTTACCCAGAAGTGAACCAACATCAATGTCACTGATGATCTGACTCGCTATTCACTTTCCAGCTTGTGTTTATCCTGCTTTTATGAATGTAATTTTTGTGGAACATTTTGATGCAATTTTTGTTACTCCTATTCAGATATGCAACTCATTTCATCCTTACGACAATACATATCCTGTTTAGATCTTTTCTGTAGTGTGGAAGGAATTCGATGGTACCTTGTTTACAGAGTTAGAATAGTTTCTTCCTCGGACAGCATTAACTAAGAAATTAGAAAGCGAATTCATTTTTCCTTACATCGCAAACATATTCTAAATTCTATTTAGACTGGTAAAAGTTTGATGACAGACATTATGTGTGGCATGTTGTGCATAAGATGACATTCCACTGAGTAGCATATCTAAAGACATACTGTTCCACGATGTGATCAAATTATTCCATGCGATAATCTGATGTGGCGAAAGAATTCATCTGTTACTCGATAAAACTAATGCCATCGTAGTGCGCTGGTGGACATCACCAGTGACGTGTGAAAATACGAGCTGAGCTGTTTCGGTAGGGTTGATTAATATACGACTGACTCATTAGTGTATATATTTATAGACTACAGTGAACATACACCAGTTCATTCTAAGGGAACTGAATAATTAAATCTATCGATAGTCCTGCTTCTTCGAAATCGTTGGACAACAGGGCATCCTAAAAATTTGGGCATCCTCAGAATACATTTAAAACAAGAATAATAGAAGTGGACAATTTCAGTTTCAGTAAATGTCTCAGGCTCTTCGGTTACAAATCCATTCCTGTTGGTAAGTAATTTTCATTGAAGATAATTGAGAATTATATCAGAAAGTGTATCATGACAGAAGTATGAGGTGATATAATAGTCATTGCGTTTTGATTATCATTTGACATGTGTATGATCAATAGGAACATGAGACAACATGAAATCGATTCGCTTAGTGCTATGTTTGTGTATATATAATCAAGAAAACAGTATCTGTTTCAAGGGATGTGTTTAGTCGGGGGTGTGACATACAAATTGGGTATCACTGAAGAACAAGCACGCAGATACAAATACGCTATACTTAAGTTCAAAGATGACAGATAAGAATGATAAGTAAAAAGTCATATCACTGGTGTGGTGGGAATACAAATGTGCTATTTATGGACCGTTATCGATTAATGAAGAATTTAATAAGGTGGAATGAAACGCGTCGTGTAAATAAAACAACGAATCTGAAGAACATAACGTGAATTTTGGTCAATTGACATAATACAAAAGATCAGGAAACCTGCACAGTGTAATGAAACGGAGAACAGAAAAAATGGATTTTCAAGTGTTGGTTTGGAGGGATTTGATTGGTTACAGGATTTCATCATGAGCTGACATCAGTTAGAGAACCATTGGAAAACCTGGGAGTACTGGACAGCTGTTTCGTCCTAGTTTGGGACTCTTCATCAGTACGCACCCATCGGGGTTCGAACCCTGGACCTTCTGGTTTGGAATTTGAAAATGAGGAATTGGGATTTCAAGTGTTAATTTCCAACATAAATGGAGGAGGTTGAGGTGAATAAAGAGGCTGCGCACATCTCATCCAGATATGGAAACTGGGTCATCTTGTATTGACTGACAGAAAACCCAGTTGGACTCTATTACATACGTCTCCAAGGACATCGGAGATCAATGAGAATGCCTTCTCCGGACAGGTTGCTAAGATTACACTATTCAAACATATTTAGCCCCATTATGCAAAGGTAGAATTACACTTTTGTGCTCACCTGGATGAAGATCACTGAGTATGCCCTATGCAGTAGGGGACATTCCAACTTTTAATTTGCAGACGCACATTATTGAGGCCATCGTTAGCAATTTATCCTTGACCCGCTATGTGGGTAGCTCTTTAGTTTGGAAAGAAGCCCTGGTTAAGCTGCAGGAAATCTGCGTTATATTTTGAGTGTTGAACAGTAGTTAACAGAAATTTTCAATTAGTCAAGGCAGTTGACCTACAAATCTATCAGTCGCGTTCTTCAGTAAAATGTGCGGACTTGACTTTCTGAAATCCAGCAGATTTTTCTCACTGAGTTCATCGATTCCCCGAGCAAATAACACTTTTCATTTTGTTTACAGGCTCACTTACGCAAACACAATCAGTCATTGGAGGTGAAGCTACACTGTGGAGTACACGTGTGGATGCGACGAATATAATGTCACTAGCGTGGTGAGTACTCTTCACTTTGTCTTCTCACTATTCTCACCAAAATCATTGTTTGGTAGGTATCTCAACTGTGAATCAAAATATTGTTTAGGACAGGAAATTTCAAAATGTTTCGTTGATAATTTTCAGTCAAAATCGAAACCCATTAACACAACTGTAAGTTCAGATGTCGACATGTTGGAAATAGGATGATGACTTCATCTGAAACTCACTCACTGTTGGCCAACATCAAACCAATATCATAAATGTGAGTGGTAGTGATTCGTTGTGCTCCTTTAACTATACACCCAGTATCAACAGACAATATACCTACATGTGAACCGTTGAAAATGAAGTTCAACTTCGACTTGAATTCGCTTTCTTCGAATTGCCATATGGAATCATAATGACTAAATTTCTAGACTGTGGGATTTTGTTCCCGTTAAAGTTGCATTTCCCTGTCTATGAAAGACACCTTTGACGAGAAATCGAGTGACACGTTTGTTCAATTCATGAAACGTCAGGACATATGATTCACAGATGAGAATTTTCTGGCTAATTAATTTGCTAAAATTACATTCAATGCATTATCGACCTACATTGAATGAGTTAATACAAAACGCTATTGTGATGTGTTTCAGTTCACCTCGCTGACCACAGTTCTCTGTGTTTCTTCTCATTATTGTGATATATATGTAGGCCCAGAGGTGCTGCTACAGCTGAACGACTTTGGACGAAACGCCCTGACAGTATAGACGAATTCGGAAAGAGATTGGACGAGCTCCGATGCAGAATGCGCCAGTGAGTTTCCCTCTACTTATAGTCATGCATATTCTGGTTAAATATTGTGGTTCTGTAGCCATTTGATGCAACTATGAATGGGACACCGTGATATAGTTACGTCAATAATCTCCTTTCCTAGACAT